CGTTTCGCGCAAAGGGAAAATCGCGCAGCTTGGCGATCACGCACCTCGTTTCGCGCACAACCTGTGAATCGCGCAAGTGTTTAATCGCTCAAGTAGAGTTGCGCAAAGATGCAGGATCGCTCAACTCCTGCTTAACCTGTACGCCAAAGTTCTGGATGCGATTTTTCACTGAATGAAACCTTGCAAGCCTAGAAACACTTTCCTGTAAACATTTTTCTGCAAAAATAACAACAAAAATAATATACAAGATCGCGCACAAGGCAGAAAAGTGCCGATAAAAAATCGCGCAAGTCCTGTTCTTCAACTTCAATAGATCGATCAGTTGCAGAAACTTCAATACGTCACACGCTCGGCTCTGATACCAATTGTTGGTCCCTATTTCTACTCTATAATGTATAAGATCTGATTAATAGGAGTAGAAGAAGCTTTCCATTGATAGCCAGAAAGTTTACATAAAGATGAAGAACATGTAGCGTAAAACTTCCGTAGGCTTCTAGTCTATGCGCAGGGAATTTTTCTAAGGGAGGAAAGCTTAACCTAGCCATTCCTAAGGGGTCTATTTATAGCCTCCTTAGAATGGTAGGTTTTACAATGATATGGGCTCTCCTTTTTAGGAGGCCCATTCCTAATTTAGCTTAGTAGCCTTTTCCATTTAAGGCCTATTAAATACACAATAAATACTACCAAGAGGCTAGATAAAATACATTGATCACAACACTAAAAATATCTCTAACACTCTGTGTTATGGCTGAAGTGCTCTCCCTCATCATCTCTGTGTACTCAGACGGAATCTCTGAAAGTGTCTTCTTATATTGACCCTGTGGCTCATTACATGGCAATGATGTAGGAGTGGCTGAAACATGTGTGCTTGTAAATTGTGGGGAGGAAGAAGTGGGGTATGCAGTTGCCCAGTAAGAATGGTCATAAGGAGGTTTAACGGGGCAAAAAGATATATGGTGACATCCTCCACAGAAGGAACAAATATTATTCTTAGGCAGGCAAGGTTGTGTGGTTGGAGGGTATGAATAAGGGAACTGATAATTTGTGGTGTAGGAGAGTAATTTTGATGAGGAGAATAATATTGATGATGAAGGTAAGGAGGATATGGCGTGTAGGGTGAATATTCCATGGAGGTTTGATGGTAAGGAATTCCTCCAGGAATTTGACTGAATGGGTTCATCTCATGCCTCTTTGAAAATTACCTGAAAGGTTAGCACAAAAAAAATCCTACGGGAAAACCAAAAACAAGTCGCTGATATTAATTAACCCTCAAATCCGACACCGTCCCCGGTAACGGCGCCAAAAACTGATGTGAGTTTTCTCGCACTTAAAATAGATCGTAATATAGTGGTGTAAGTACGAGTATCGTCTCCACATGGACGGACAAAAGGGAATCAAGAATTAGTTAAATTCAGCGATTAAAGAGAAATAAAATAAATGCGTCGTGCGAGATATGATTGGAATGAAAACTAACAAATGCGAATGAACGATTAAAAAAAGCTTGGTTTCTTTCTAATTAACGACGAAGGGAACAGGGATTGATTGCGGGGTAACCAGATTTCTGACAGATCAGACCTAATTGCATTGAATTGATTTAATTGAACCTAGCTAATGATTACTAAGTTCTTACCGCTCTTGCGGTGTAGAGTACAATAATTTAGAGGACCAGGCTGATCTCTCATGCGACATGATCCTAAATTATTGCCAAGACGAGCGAGCTTACGGCCCCTTAATCGCTACTAATCTCTTAGCGAGCGATTAAGTGTGTGTGAATGTGTCCTAGAACAAATTAGATCTCTCTTAATTTATTCTACATGCAATTGTAATTCTAGCTGCAGTCTAGGTTACAAGAAATATCAGTTAAATTATTCATAAACAAATTAAACGACATTCATGCAATTAAACCATCAAGAATCTATCCATACATCATGATCAACCCTTTCATCAACCCCAAATCCCTAAAACTACTCACAACTTATAATTGAAGAATCAATAGAATTGGAAAGAATAGAATTAATTGTCATTAATTAAAAAGAATGAACTTACAAATGATCTCAGGGTCTTGGAGTAAACAACGTAGAAACGCAAGTAAATTCCTCCCTTGTCCTCTCCGTAATGTTCGTAACACTTAAACAAGAGATGGGAGGCCTTATTTATAGAAAACAGATGAGTTTGGGCTGAACTGAGACAAAAACGGGGTAATCCGGGCAAAAATAGGATTTTCCGGAGGCGGGCACGGTGTCAGGCATGACCGTGCCTTCGACCGTGCCTCTGGAGAAAAATCGCGCGTTTTGGGCAGGCACAGTCGTGCCTCCCTCCAGGCACGATCGTGCCTGATTGGCAGTAGCTCCGCGGTGCTTTCTCTTCACGCACGATCGTGCCTAACTTTGAGCGCACAATCGTGCCTACTTAATTTCCAAATTTGACGATGCTTCCTTCACAAACGTTGTATATAATGAAGTCCTATATCCACCACAACTTGCCGAATTGTATTTGAATCATCCAATCAAGAGATATGATCAAAACGGTGGAAGGTCGCATTCTGAAATCGCAACAGGTGTAATCTGACTTCATCGTCAGTTTTGACCTTATTCCTCTCAGATTCTCGCAAAGGTGTCTTCATATGATTTGTATCTATTGAAGTTATCCTTCAAATGGAACTTGAATCGTGTCCTTGGGATGTTTCTATAAGGAGATATGCTTGAAAGATTGACAGAATGTCATCATGATCAACGTTTTCAAGCTCTTTTCGTTTTCTTTTGATGTCGTAGTTAATCCTAGAGCTCTTTTGTCATCAAATCTTCATCGTGAACCTCCCGGTGACCTCCAAAGCTCTCAATGCACTCTCGAATGCATCTTGAATCATCCCGATTGTTTCTCAAGCGCCAGTGTCGGGCTCAAATTCCCTGATTTTGACTCCAAATGACACAAAACTCGAACCAACGCCTGGTAAACATAACTTGAGCTAAAATTAAGACTTGTAACACCTTAAAGCTAGGAAAACCATCAAAAGCCGATCTCAACACGCATCAAATGTGTGTCTAAATACAGACTTATCAGATAGTCAACCAAAAATTTTAAATTTGGAAGAAAACTCACCCTCAACTTCTCAGGTTGAATATTGATGCGTCTTTCTTTAATGGAAGGAGCGCATGAGGGGCGGTACTTCGGGATGACGGAAGGCTGCAACCTTATCTACATCTCCATGACCAAGACGATCAAGAAGACCATGAAAACTTGGAGTCTGTCTCCATTATTGGACTTATTCATGTACCCCGAATGTTGTAGAAGTTTTTTGAATCTGTGAAACACTTTACTTTATGACGTATGTCCACCTGCAAACTATTGGATATTATGATATTAGTTACTTAATCATTTGTTATGATGTGTTGATGTGTTGGGTTATGCATACTGGATGTTTGTACTGTGTTTTTATAATGTGTTTGTGACCAGGTGTATTACCACATTTCTATCAAATTCTATTATGTTTTTATCTGTTTTTTAATGTTTCAGTTTTTGTAGGTGCAGAGGCAAAGTCGCCAAACCGTTTGGCGACTCATAAGTCGTCATCCCGGTTGGCGGTTTATAAGTCGTCAAACCGTTTGACGACTTTGCCCAACTCGGGTTAAGCCCATAGTAAATTGGTTAATACTTTTAACCCAACATTATTTCGGTAAATACTTATTTAATTCGCATTAATTCGAAGAAAAAAAACTTCACAAGTTGTAAACAATTTGTATATATACACTATATAAACTTAAAAATTTATCATTATTATTCTCTCATTTGATTTCTTCCTCTCCTTTGTCTCTTCTCTATCTCTCTTCTCTCTTCCTTTAATTCCTAACTAGCCCATTCCGATACTCAAAAGAAGATCGGTCATCTTCTTCTCTTCATCCCCCCACCCCCCCTCTTCCCTTCTCCATCCTCTTCATCTCCAATTTTTATTATTCACTTTTTTCATTACTTACACAAAATCAACTTATTTATCTATTTTCATCTATTTGTATACTTTTCTAAATTTTTTCAAATTAGATGTAAATTGTGCACACATATAACTACATCATTCATATACATGTATACATAAAATCAAATGTGTTGTTCACCAAATAATTATAATTGATCACATGAACAATTAAAGTATATCACACAGACAGTTATTATATGCGAGAAGCATAACTATTGGTTGTGTAATAAAATCTAGAGATAAGGGTCAGATAGGGTCTCGGACTTGAAAAAAAATGTCAAATAAGACCATATTTAGGATGCTCTGTCCGGCCGACGCCATTTGGGGTGGTTCCCGGTAGAATTTTTTGATGAATTTTTTTGAGAATCTTATTCATTAAGTCTAGTTTACTCATATCAAATTTGAACTAAAACTTTAATCGGGAAGACATTCAAATGAATTCTTGAAGATAACTGTACCGTTAAAAGCGCAGTTATCTTCATGAATTCATTTAAATGCCTTCCCGATTGAATTGTTAGTTCAAATTTGATATGAGTAAACTAAACTTAATGAATAAGATTCTCAAAAAAATTCATCAAAAAATTCCACCGGGAACCACCCCAAATGGCGTCGGCCGGACAGAGCATCCTAAATATGGCCTTATTTGACAATTTTTTTCAAGTTCGAGGCCCTATCTGACCTGTATCCCTAAAATCTATGTGAACATAGACAATAAAAAATGATCACATAGACAACTATGATAAAATTGGTCTAAAAGTTCCATATTTTGGTCACATGAAATAATTTTCTATGCGCAAACAATTATTGTCTTTGCATGGACAGTTATTGTCCATGCGCGCACAAAAACACTGCACACACAGAGATTGATTTGCACGCTTGTGTTTATGCCAGACGACTGTCAATGTACTTTTGAAACTCAAATTAATGTATGCGGAACAAGAGTAATTTGAGCACAAATAATTCTTTTTTGTGCTCACGGACAGCTCCCATGTGCTAGCACACCAATTGTATGTGAACGAGATTTGTGTGAGAATAATGGGAAAAGAGTACTCCAATAGGAGTCCTGGCATGTGTATAAATAATGAGAGAGTTCAAGATACAAAAGGAAACAAATATTCCTAAATATATTTTAGGATACACATATCCCTAAAATATATTCTATTACACCCCCTCAATCTGTGCAGGAGATACAACGCGCAGGTTGTCTTTTAAAAAGTGAAATTGCTGACTAGAGAGACTTTTAGTAAAAATGTCAGCCAACTGTAACTGTGTAGGAATATACTTCACAATCAAGTCTCCATGCGCAACACGTTCCCTGACAAAATGATAGTCAATCTGAATATGTTTGCTGCGAGCATGCTGAACAGGATTAGCAGTCAAGTATGAAGCAGAGATGTTGTCACAAAATAATTGAACAGGGGCCTTGACAGGAAAACCAAGCTCAAATAAAATGGAACGAATATGTAAGGTATCCTGTACGGTGTAGGCAACAGCTCTATATTCTGCCTCTGTAGAAGACTTGGACACTGTAGGTTGTTTCTTGGATTTCCAGGAAACCAGGTTCGGCCCTAAAAAGATAGCAAAACCAGTCGTGGAACGAGATGAATCTGGACATCCGGCCCAATCAGCATCAGAATAGGCGATTACACAAGTCGCCTGTGTGGTAGGGCGCAACCACAAACCGTGATCCAAAGTCCCTTGTAAATACCTGAAAATTCTCTTGACTGCAAAAAGATGAGTAGTACGAGGAGCATGCATAAATTGAGACACTAAATCTACAGCATAGGTAATATCAGGTCGTGTCAAAGTTAAATATTGTAACGCACCAACCATACTACGATACTCAGTGGCATCGGAGAGAAGTTCACCATCAGTGAGAGAGAGAGAGAGAGGTACGAGTAGCCAGAGGTGTACGTACAGGTTTAACCGTATGCAGATGGAACCGAGAAAGAAGATCACACACATATTTGTGTTGAGAGAGAAACAAACCTTTATCAGAACGTTTAGCCTGGACTCCAAGAAAGTAATGAAGGTCACCAAGATCCTTCATAGCAAAATGCTGAGCAACAAGATGGATAAGGGAAGAGACAAGAGAAGACGAATTGCCAGTAATAATAATATCATCAACATATAATAATAGATAAATGACATAATTATTCTGACGATATATAAATAAGGAATTATCCGACTTACTGCATGTGAAACTATGAGACAATAAAAAGCTACTGAAACGATGGAACCATGCCCGCGGGGCCTGCTTAAGTCCGTATAGGGCTTTTCGCAGTCGGCATAAATGATTAGGAAACAAAGGATGTGTAAAACCCCGCGGTTGACGCATATAAACCTCTTCAGTGAGATGACCATGTAAAAATGCATTTTTGACATCCAGTTGACGAATAACCCACCCAAAAGAAATAGCCAAAGAAAGGACAACACGAACAGTGGTGGGTTTAATAACCGGACTAAACGTCTCTGAAAAATCTACACCAGCCTGCTGACTAAAACCCTGTCCAACCAAACGTGCTTTATGACGCTCAATAGACCCATCAGAATTATATTTTGTCTTATAAATCCACTTAGAGCCCACAACATTTTTAGTATTATCAAACGGAACTAATTCCCAAGTATTATTAGAAATAAGAGCATTAAATTCCTCTGCCATCGCCTGACGCCATGGAAGATGTTTATTGGCCTCTGAAAAACAAGTTGGATCTGCTGATAAAGCAACTGTATTTAAATTAAAAATAGTTTTTGGTTTAAAAATGCCAGACTTAGCCCGGGTTTGCATGGGGTGAAGGTTATGTGTGGAAGCCGGAAGGGAGGATAGCGAAGTAGTAACAGGCTCAGAGTGTACCGGGCTGTCATCGTGGGGGTTGGCAACAGGCTGCTCGGGCATTGAGATCGAGGAAAAATGGGGTGAGGGGAGGTGAGGTGACGGGGTCTGGGTTGTTGTGGACGAGGGCGAGGCTGGTGGCAGGGTGTAGGTGGATGAAGGCAGGTCTGAAGGTGTTTGTTGTGGAGGTGTGTGGTCTGTATCCGCATGGGGAGTATGTTGTGTGGAGGCTTGGGTTGATATGGTGCAGATGGGTGTTGATGGCAGTTGCCAGGAGGGAGTAGGTTGCAGGGAAATATGCTGAGTACTAGGCATGGGAAGAGGGCATTGTGAGGATTCGACCAAGGCAGGCTGGATAAGAGGAAAGTCAGATAAGGATGAAGACGAGGTAGGTGCAGTAGTAGACGAAGACAAAGTGGTGAATGGAAAAAGATGCTCATGAAACCGCACATGTCGACTAATAAAAACTTTACCGGATTGAGGCTCTAAACAGCGATAACCTTTATAACCAGATGCATAGTCAATAAACACACATAGAATAGAACGAGGAGAAAGCTTATTTGAGGAAGTGGCAGAAAAATTTGGATAGCAAGCACACCCAAAAACACGCAAAAAATTATAATCAGGTACTTTTTGAAAAAGTTTTTCATACGGAGAGCACCCAGAAAGAGTGGGAGAGGGAAGTCTGTTTATAATATAAACTGCTGTAAAAATAGCATCAACCCAAAACGTACTAGGAATAGAGGCGTTAATAAGCATAGTCCTAGCCAGTTCAAGTAGATGACGATGCTTACGTTCAGCAACCCCATTTTGTTGCGGAGTGTAGGGGCAAGATTTTTGAAAATAAATTCCATGCTCAGAAAAAAATTGTTGCAAGTTAAAATTGACAAACTCACCCCCTCCATCACTTTGAAAAACTTTTATTTTTGCATTAAACAAATTTTCCACAAGTGCCTTAAAGACACGAAAATGAGCAAAAACTTCGTCTTTGGTGCGCATGGGATATAGCCAGGTAAAGCGAGAAAAATCATCAATAAAACATACATAATACTTAAAGCCTAAGTTAGACAGAACTGGAGATTGCCACACATCAGAATGAATTAATTGCAAGGGAGAAGAAGAATCATGGCTAGCATCTGAGAAAGGTAATCGTTGAGATTTGCCTAATCGGCAAGAAATACAGTCATGATCAAAATGAATAGAACCAGAAATAAAATTTTTAGCACGCAACATGCGCAAAATGTTTTCACCACAATGTCCTAATCTACGATGCCACACAGGGCCAGAAATAACAGAAGACGCTAAAGCTAGAGGTGCTGAATGGCTGAGGCTGATAGGATAGAGATGTCCATTACGATGTGCCCGAAGCAGAACCGCCCCCGAAATTTTGTCCTTAACAAGAAAAGAATTTTTATCAAAAATGGCAATACAGTTGTTATCAGCACACAATTTTTGTATAGAAATTAAATTAAATTTAATTTGAGGCACATGATAAACATATTGCAAGGAGAGAGGACGTGCTAGAGTATTTAATGTGATATGTCCAATATTAGCTATGGGAAGATTAACACCATTTGCAACACTAACAGTCATAGGGCCTGAATAAGCTGATTTATGAGATAAAATACCTTCCGAGGAGGTCATGTGAGCAGAAGCCCCGGAGTCGGGATACCACAAAGCATCATTATTTTCACCAGTAGGAGTCAAGAGAGCAGGGGCAGATTGTTGAGAAAACCGAGATAGACAAGCAATGGCAGAGTGACCTGCAGAAAAACAGATTTGACACACGACAGGAGGTGGGACAGACCCAAGAATACCCTCAGCTGATGAAGAACCTGCATATGCATAATGAGTACCACAAGTAGATTTAGCATTAATATTTAAAGTGGACATGACAGATTTACCAAATGTGACATTAGGAGGTCTCGGAAACACTGCACCCCCTGCGGCCGAAGGCGGCGGTCCCTGCTGGCTATGTGGTTGCTGGGGATAAAAGTGATGCGGCTGGTACCTACCTCGGCCACGGGCTCCTCTGCCGCGACCGCCTCTGCCGCGGCCTCCTCTGCCGCGGTATGCGCCCGGCTGTCCATTCTGTCCATGCTGAGCGGGACCCACTTGAGCTCCAAAGGCCTGTTGAACAGGCAAATTGTCTTGCTGACGCTGATAAAGAACCTGCTGCTCCGCTTCCATAAGTCGTGGATGAAGAATATCGGGTGGAAAGCTCTCAGGAAATAGAGAAATAGTACCCGAAATAAATTTATAATCAGGTCCCAAACCACTAAGAGTATACTGAAGTAATTCTCTATCAGTCACAGGAGAATTTATAGTAGCTAACGCATCAGCCAAATTTTTAATATCTCTCAAATAATGCTCCATGGATTGATTTTCTTTCTTTTTAGTGTTGGACAGTAAACGTTTGAGTTCCATGGCTCTAGGTAAACTAGCAGACATAAAACGTGATTGCAGACGCTCCCATATACGAGAAGAATGTTTAATATCATGCACATCAGTTAATACATCCCGAGATAAAGTAGCAAACAACCAAGAGTGAATTGTTTGATCAATACGAAGCCAATGGTAATAGTCTGTATTAACAATGTGATGATTATTAAAATCCATAGTGTACATGGGAGGTACCTGAATGGAGCCATCAACGATGCCAAAGAGCCCTTGAGAGACGAGGAACGACTCAAACTGGGTGCGCCAGGTAAGGTAATCCTCAACAGCTTTAAGCTTGATTGTCACGATCTGTCCAACGTTAGCAATTCCATGAGACACGGTCTGGGCCAAGGCTGCCATAGGAGACCCAAATAAGGGATTGTCCTGCTGTGGCCGAGTCACCCCTGGAGAACCAGCAAAAGTTGACCCAAAGAAGGAGGAGGCAGGCTGTTGCACTGGAGGAGGAGATGGAGTCACCGGAGTCCACGGAAACTGGGGCGGCAGAGAGGTGAAAAGGGAATATGCCGACCCAGCCGGGTATGGTCTGGCAGCGTAAGAGGAAAATATAGGATCGTTGGACTGCAGAGGCATGGAAAGACCAACCGGATCGAGATTATGCAGCGGCATGGAAGAAGGACGAGAGACTGCCGGTTGAATGTGGTGCAGAGGAACGGACGTGATAACAGGGGAGGAGGAATCTGTTGTAGGAGTAGCACCGACCGCCGTCTCGACTGAAATCGATGGCGTAGGGAAGGCCGAAGTCAGCGACGCCATGGAAAATTCTTGCGACATGGCTGCGACAAAGAGGACGAACGAAAAAAATAGGGTTTTTCTCTAGGCTCTTGATACCATGTGAGAATAATGGGAAAAGAGTACTCCAATAGGAGTCCTGGCATGTGTATAAATAATGAGAGAGTTCAAGATACAAAAGGAAACAAATATTCTTAAATATAATTTAGGATACACATATCCCTAAAATATATTCTATTAATTTGTATACATGTTGTGTACAACCTGTGTACACGAAGCATTTCTGATACAAAATTCGCGTACACTCTTGTACAAGGAATCTTAAGATGTTTTTATTTGACTGTATTCAGCACAGATCAAACCTGACTATAATCGGCTAGATCAGATTCAAACTGATCAAATCAGACTTTGATAATTATAAAATAACTAAAGATTAGACATTTATCAAACCAGTTCCATACTATACTTAAACAAACTAGACAATTAATACCATCCTTAGTTGTAGAGTGAGTGCAATAGAGAATTGGTTATCTTTGTGCCTGAGCAAAACCTTGATCAGACGGGATCATTTCGTCGTCTAAATTTACAATCCAATTAAAAAGATCAAGAGTTTATTGGAAGAAGAGGAAGGACACTATCTAAATGAACACAATTGCATTATATTAGTTGGTTTCGTCGTCTAGTAATTGACTTTAAAATACAAAATCGAACTCATAATCATTAATTATAATCCAACAATAGAGATAACAATAATTTTTCAATATACTTTTCCAATGAGAATATGTCAAATTGCTTTTGTGGACGGCTCAACAAAACAACTTGGACAAAATATGATACTTCTTTCGTCCCTAAATAAACTTCCAACTTTCCTTTTTCGTCTGTCCCAATTAAAATTTCCACTTTCCCTTTTTGGTAAATAATTTGTGGTTCACAACATTTCTTATACATTTCTCTTTCTTCTGCACAACTCTCCACCACACAATACCCACTATTTTAAATTGTGTGACAACCTATTTGAAAGTTTTATTAGAGGCAGACGTAGTATTGGGGAACTTTTCCCACTTTTTCACACGTCTAAGATAATGTGGACTGATGATGATGCTCGTATAACTTTTCCAACTTTTTCACATGCTTAAGATGAGTCTTACTCCGTACATTGCATTTAATGCTCATGTATTTACCTATGATTCTACGGATTGTAAGTTATACGAGTATTTTTGTGTTTTAAACCAAACCATATCATATTTAAATAGATCCAATCAGACCAGATTTAAACAAATAAGATTAGATCAGACTTGACTTCCGTAATTATAAAATACACAGAGATCAGACGTTTATCAAATCAGACCAGACCAGATTAGACCAAACTCAAACGGACCAGAAAAGACAAGACCAGACTTAAATAGACGGATCAAGAAATTGGAGTTAAAGTAAAAACATTTTAATTCAAAACATTTAAGGGAAAACTGTCAAATAGGTCCTCGAACTTTCATAAAAAGGTCAATTAAGTCCTTCTATAGGAGGTTCTGTCCGGCCGTCGCGATTTGGGGCAGTTCCCGGTGGAATTTTTTGATGAAATTTTTTGAGCATCTTATTCACCAAGTCTAGTTTACTCATACCAAATTTCAGCTAAAAATTTAATCGAGAACACATTCAAATTAATTCTTGAAGATAACTGCACATTTTTGCGTTCTCGAATTAATTTGAATGCGCTCCCGATTAAATTTTTAACTGAAATTTGGTATGAGTAAACTAGACTTGATGAATAAGATGCTAAAAAAATTTCATCAAAAAATTCCACTGGGAACCGCCCCAAATCGTGACGACTGGACAGAGTCTCCTATAGAAGGACTTAATTGACTTTTTTATGAAAGTTCGAGGACCTATTTGACAGTTTTCCCAACATTTAATTAATTTGATCTTATCAAAAAAGAGGATGGGGTCATGTGGATGCTCCTAGAAAAACAAGAGACGGCGACCCCCCGTCTCCTTCTCCGTTAGTCAACCCACTCAAGGGACACGAGTCCATTAAAGCATCAACTAGCGCCGTTGGATAGCAATCGTGCGGTGGAAATCGCCCCAAAACCCCACTAACCAAAAAGAAGAGGCCTCCACCAAGTAAAAATGTACTGCATTATTTCCCGAGGCGGCTAACCCTAGTTTACGGATACATGAATCGAGACACTTTGCTTTTAAAGAGCCAATCCAAACCACCCACGTGGGATGGACGGCGACGTCTGGCTAACCTCTACCGCGCCTGGCCCCACCCCGTTCCCGATTCCTGGTAACCTCCGTAACTGGTCAACACTTCCAGAAGAAACAATTACTCTCTAAAGTTTTGCAAAAAAAAAAAATCACCATTACTGACCTTCTTAAGTTTGCTAGATTGTTTCACATTTTCATTTATGAGTGGAAATAAAGAGTTGACAAAAGAAACCAAGAGTTATTCACATGTGTATCTATAATTGCGTATTTAGATTTGATTCATAAAATTGTTTATGCTTTTTAAACCAATATTAGAGTGTTTGAGTGAGAATGAAAAAGTACTTTTGAATGCTCCAAATTACTCGCAGAAGTAGTTTTTTAGAAGTTTGGAGAGATCAGCTTCTGAAAAACTAATTCTGATTTTGTGATTTTAAAAAAAGAACTAGAATCAGAATCAAGCACTTCTATCTTTTTGTCTTTATGTATCTTTTTATTTCTAAAAAATTTCTATCAATTATTATCATATTCATATTACCGTGGGCTTTGTACATTGAACAGTGACAAACATATGGAAAAGAGTGGAGGACTCCAGAAAGCTTGGTGAGGACAAAAATCAACAAATTATAAAAGCAATATTAGGGCGTTGATTAAATATAACTGAATGAATGTTCGTTCATATAATTTTATATTCTGTGCCTCCACTTTGACACCGTTACCAAAAATAATTAATTGTTTTGTTTGAGTATATATGAAAATAATTTACATACTACATTCCATACAAGAAAACAAAAACAAAATTGGAATAGCATGAAAAAATTTGTAATAGCATGAATAGCATGAGTCAGATGATTCACAAATGGGAATGATTATTGTGGATAACAAGACCTTATTGAGGGAAAATGCCAATATGTCAATTATTTGGTGCAAAAGATCAGTAAATTAAACGGCTCACGTCCGAGCAAGAACGATTATTTTTATGTCCAATTGAATAATTAATTTTGACTTTCTGCCTAGTACTGTTGTAAGCTAACGATTATTGACTTAAAGTTTGGTGATTTACCATAAAATATGATTTACCATAAAATATGCCATCATGCCATATTCATTTTTTTATTTTCTTATAGAATCATGGATTAATATTGTATACGTGTGATTGTTTTTATGCAACATCCATTTTTGGAGCACATTTAAATTTTACATTTTGTCTGTGTCACATTGTATATAAAATTTTCATAAGTTCTATATTCTTTAATCCAAGATTTTAAGACTTTGTATGAATCCTTCATAGAAAACTTGTGCAAACGGCTTTTTTCTTGGGAAAAGGTACAAATAGGCCCATGTACTAACCAAAAAGGTCAAATAAGCTCTTATTTAGGAGGCTCTGTCCGGCCGTCGCCATTTGGGGTGGTTCCCGTTGGAATTTTTTGATGAAATATTTTGAGCATCTTATTCAATAAGTCTAGTTTACTCATACCAAATTTCAGCTAAAACTTAAATGGGGAAAACATTCAAATGAATTCTTGAAAATAACTGCGCAGTTAGAAGCGCAGTTATCTTCAAGAATTCATTTGAATGCATTCCCGATTGAAATTTTAGTTGAAGTTTGGTATGAGTAAACTAGACATGATGAATAAGATGCTCAAAAAATTCCATCAAAAAATTCCACTGGGAACCACCCCAAATGACAGCAGCCGGACAGAGTCTCCTAAATAAGGGTTTATTTGACCTTTTTGATTAGTACATAGGTCTATTTGCACCTTTTCCCCTTTTTTCTTTCAAAAATCCACAACTTACGAGTTTTTGGTAAGTTTTTCTAATCAAAATGTGAATAAACTTTGCTATGAAGTGATATGAAATATATGGCATCAAAAACAGAATTATTTGGACAATGTCTTTCATAGTGATAAGCCATGTAGATTCACTAATCTTTTATGATAGGAGGGGGTCCTCACTTTCTTTTTTGATGAGCTGTGTAAATTCTTCAATCGTCTAAAATGGAAGAATAATCACTTTTTAAAATGCCCACAAACATGCTGATGCGTTCTCTAAAGTCAACATGATTATTTCATGTCCTTAATATTTTGTTAAGCTTATATAACAAAATGTTTTTACTTGAACTGTTTCAATCTCAGACTAGACCACACCTAAACATATCAGACTTAAACAATCCAAATCAGACTTTCATAGTTTTTTTTTTTTTCAAAAGACCAGACTTTCATAGTTATAAAATACGAAAAAACGAAACATTTACCCAACTAATTCAAACCAAACCCACAATGTAAGAACATCATTAATAGTATAAAATATGAATCGACATTTTACTCGGAGAAAACAAGGTAGGAGAATAAGAAAGGCAAAAGATAAGAAAAACAAAAAATAATTTATTAAGCATAATTAATAAAATAATTAAGAAAAAAGATTGTGCAATTAAAGTCCGTGTTGGCAGAAATAAGTTGGCAACACAAACGGTGCATGAGAGAGTCCTGTTGAAAGTTGAAACAATCCACATCACCATTACAAGGAAAACTTGTATCATTGAACTTCATAGGCTTAATAAAAGGAAGAGAATTAAATAAGAGATGGAAAATGAAATAAGAACTAATATGGCCATTCCATTATTGTGTTTTATAAAACTCACAAAGTGGGTATATACATTTTTCCATACAGACAATAAGATAGCTGATACATCATACATGTGTCAATAACCACTCCATTATCTTCATATGTCATTATTATCAACTTGCAATATGGATCAAATATAGGGAAGAGCATTATTTTCATTTCCATGAAACAGAACACCTAATATTTTCTTAAAAGCCCACCTACCTTATCACATTACTTTTTGCCCCCCCTATAAATCCTTATTCCAGATTCTACCCTAGATATTTTATACATATGTATTTCCAAACGTAACAAAAACTTTCAAGGTTTCCCATTTGTAGCTAGTATTTACAACATGCTCCTCAAGAAGTTGGGAAGTTGTAGAAATTCCCAAGAACTGGGGCGGTGGAGTGATAATTATAATGTAGGGTGCTTAAGCGAAATTAAGAGAAGAACAGGGGCATATGAGCAAAAACATGGCTAGTACTCTACCACGATGAGTCCGCCCATTGGGGCTCGATGAGGAATTCCCTTTCTGCGCTTGGCATTTCTGTAATTACAGTTCACGGAAGTTGGGGGCGGCGTTGACGGCGTGAAGCTCTGGACGTTTCTACAGTGCTGCCGACCGTGGTAAACGCCGCGGTCGTCGGAGTCAACGTCGGAGTCCGACGCCGACTTCTTCTTCGTCTTCTCCGGCAAACGCTTCGCCTTCTTCACGAAATCCCTCGATGACCCAACAATCTGAAACCATCGAATTTCATCAAAATGCTGACACTAAATCAAAAGAAATCAAAAGAAATCAAAAGA